TACTCAAGAAAACGGTCGGTGACTTAGGCAGAGCAGCGTAACCCAGTTACTTATTTTTAAAATAAAATTGGTAGCTATAGGATCTTTCCAGAACGGTCTTCCTGAATATGGAAGCTGTAGAAAGTCATGTTTCCGTTAGGCTTTGTATTTGGAAAGCTGGAGTCGTTCAAGCATTATGTGTCGTCATAATTTCCAACGCTGGGCTGATAAAGAGATGCCCTCTAATTGTTATTCTTCTCCCACTATTTTTGTGATTTACTTTTCAATTTATAGACTGGGATTATCTGAGAGCGTTAAGTGAAGTTGAAAAGCTAAATGAGGAGAAAAAGGAAAAGGTAATGTCTCACGTCAAGTGGACGGATAAATATGTTGAGCTGCTACATTTTTATTCTTCTTGTGCGCTTTGTGACTCGGATGGTGATGGTTTAAAATGCCAGGTTTGCATTCTTTTGTTCTATTTCATATCACTATATTACTTTGGGTCAGTTTTTTGACGCCTCGGCTGTATCAGCCCTGTTTTCGCGTAGTTCTTTTTCGTATCTCATTGTGTGTACCTTTCTTTTGTGAGTTCTTAACTTTATCTGGCTTAGGCATGTGGCGCGAACCCAGTAGAAAAAGTTATTCAATTATTTTCAAGCGAAAGCTATAATCACGATACCTTGGAATCTGAAGAATTACGCTGTATTGGAGCCGGCTCTCCTATGCCTGCCATGGTAGGGCATTTGCTTTATGTAAATGTATAGACACTGACAGTATTCCACTGCTGTTGCGGAATCTATGCAGTTTAGTAATTTGGGTTGGGCAGTAAAAGATTCTTAGTCATTTTCGTCTCAGTTTTTCATTTTTTTGGAGTAACTCGAAAGATATTTTATTGTTTTTTGATGTGTGTGAAATAAGCAGTCTTTTAAACTTGTAGTTTTCGGTCCCAACAGATCTGCATTAACATGGAGTGTAGAGGAATTAAGAAACTTTAAAGGTATCATTAGATTTGCTTTAAGGTAAGAATCTTGCCTTCACTGGGTGTATCTAAAATTAATTTGGATTTTCAATGTGTTACTGGTGGTCAAGGACTGAATGTACTTTTTTGATTATTTAATACTCATAGTGATTTTTTGGTGGCTTCTCTAGACTGCTGTAGTTGTATAAGTCAGAAGGATCTTATTTAAACTTGTTCTTTTCCAGGAGTACCTAGTTTGTTCTCATTGTGCCAAATCCTCAATCCTTTATCATAAGTTGCATCATATGCGTTACTTAATTTTGAAACAGTGCGAAGAACAGGTACTTGCCTCTTAACTTTTAAAGGCATTTTTATGTATTATAAGTTTGGAAAGTCGATTTAATTTTCGATAATAATATGGTGCGGCAGAATTATCTTTTTAGATGGAAATGATTAGCTATGAGGAGCCTTTGATGTCCGCTGATAGTGTGATTGAAAAGTGCTTGAAAAGTTTTAGATGGCTTAATCAGGTAATCTTTCTGCAGTTGCTAAACATCACTGTTCAATATATGTTTCGCACTAGAAATCGTTAGTTGACGAATATCAGTGGTACTGGGTTTGGGCTAAGGTCAATTGAAATATTTTTTGTTCTGGATTTTTTTTATCTGTCAATTTAATTTATCTATTTATAAACTAAATATTTCTCTCAAACTCATTCTTCCCCTTCGCAATGCAATAAAAAAACCAAATCATACTTTTTCACTGGTCAGAATTTATTAGTTTTCCATAACTATTAATTTATTCTTCTCTCATTTCAATTCGACTCTTTCGAGACGCTAGAGTTTTCAGATATTGTCTGAGTACGTTGGAACATGGCGGAAAATAGATCTTAATGCTTACTAGTGTGATTTTACAGCTTGACATTTTGACATATATATA